GGGATCGTTTAATCATCCTACATATTGAAACTCAGCGATATGAGCCAAACTTTAAAGGATTATTTTATTGTGACAGTGAAACATGTCCGCTCACATTTATTCTCACAGGATTGTTTCATCTTGTGCGTCCTCTTCAGAGGATGAACTTGGGACAGCGCCCCCCTCAGGATGTGTTTAGCTGGGGCAGTGCTGGTTACCTGTCCAGGTGAGTCCTGGCAGATGTCAGAGCAGACATGACAATGAGGATGTTGTCAGTGAGTCACATGATAACAGCAGCGGCGTGACGCTGACCGCAAATCACAGGCTGGTAAAAATACCACGCTGACTCACAGCTTCAGGGAAACACCTCGCTCTCAGCCGGGCTCTGATTGGTGCAGGTGTGCCTCTGCAGGTAAACGCTGTTTTCCAGCCACACTTGTGTTTTTGCCCCTTAATTTCTGAGCTTCAGTGTTTTTTTGCTCGTCGTTGATCCTGGATCACAGGAGCGTGTTGCAGGGTGTTTGGATCGCTCGCCGCTCACAAACTCAGGTTCCTCGTCCTCATCTCGCTTACTCTGGGTTATGGTGGATGTATCCGTTGTGACATCACGCTCTCTGAAGCCTCCGTTTTAGCCTCATTTAGCTGTTTTTTTGGAAAAATCTACCATATTTGGAAGAGTGTGAGTATTCAGCTAACATCCAATCAAAATGCTCAAATTTCTCTCACCAAACTGCCGCTCCGCCTTCCTGGACGGTCTGTTAGTACAGCCATGTTACTGGTCACATGATGTCAACACGCTGCAGAGGTCCAGTTCAGGTGAAGCTAGCAGCTACAGCCGCCTGTGTCGCCATCCACCGGTCGGTCAAACAGGCCCCGCCCCTAATATCTGCAGGGTCTTGGAGCTTCAGTGTTGTTAGCGTGATCTCAGGTTCACCTGGCACTGACTTACTCTCACACCTTCCTGCCATTACTCTCGACCCCGTTCTGAGTTGTTTTAGCTCCTCCTCCCCAGAACCCGTCGCATCATTCGCTCCTGCGGTGACAACCAAAGATAACGGTCTTATTAAAGTCAGTGTTTGGGGTTTCAGGGTGAAGGTGGTGATGATGATGAGCGCTGTGTACCTGCAGCCTGGTAAACAGCCATACCTGCACAGACGCAGCTGCTTGTTTAAAACATTAATGTGGTGACAGATGTGCACATGAAAGCAGATCATAAAAATCATCTTACACTGATGAAAATATGTTTTTCCGTCTGTTGATGTCAAAGATGAAACAGGAAACCAGAGCAGTGTAATTAATGCGTGTGTGCGAGGGGGTTTCCAGCTGCGCGCTGAAGAAGACTTTTATTGCTTCTGAAAACCACAAAAACATGTTAAAGCATCATGAAACCACCTGAACCTGTAATTCAGCTGCTGACAGCACAGCACGCATTAAACTGCTCAGACATCAACACGACTAATGGAGCCGCAAATAGCTCCAATCAGACCCAGCCAGACCTCACCAGCTCCCCCTGCAGGCTGCACGAGCCACTGCACACAAGCAGCACGAAGCAGAGCATTTCATAGTCTCACATTACAGTAACGTATAAAACACTGAATTATAACTTCATTTAAAAGCTTCCTCCTTATTTCATTGTGATGTGTCAGTGAATCCCAAAGTCCACCAGACGCTCCCCGGGCCTGGCCTGAGATGGGCTTCCTCTGAAGGGTGGCTGGCCTCGCCCTTAGAGAGGGAGGGG